CTCCAGAAGCTTGTAAGTTTCATTAGGTCCCATTTGTTTGTTCTTGCTTTTATTTCTTCTAGGAGAAAATTTTTGAAATGTAAGTATTTAAGTATATAAACTTCTTTAGGCAGTGTTGTAGCCGCATCCCACTAATGTTTGTATGTTATGTTTTCATTTTATTCAGTTCAGAATAACTTACCTCTTGTGTGTATTTCCAAATATTTAGACATTTTCCAGTTATCTCTCTGTTATTAGTGGTGGACATTAGGTTGTTTCCATTAATCGAAAGAATTAATGAATGAACCTGATTTCAGTTTTTTAAATGTTTTAATACTCAGTTCATTTGCCAGCATATGGTCTGTCTTGATGAATATTCCAAATTCACTTGAGGAAAATCTGTATTCTGTCATTACTGGGTGGATTTTTCCCCCAGTTCTTTCGAGATACAGTTGCCATGCAGCACTGTGTAAGTCTGTGCATAGTTTGATGACTTGACTTACATATATTGTGAAATGACTACCACAGTAAGTGTGGTTAATCTTCATCATCTCATATACATACAAAAAAAGGAAAAAAGTTTTTTTCCCTTTTGATGAGAACTCTTAGTATCTACTCTCTTAACAGCTTTCAAATCCATGATACAACCTGTAACCTACTGTCATCAAGTTGTACATTTGGACCCACTTTTATTTTTAATATGCTTGGTTCTTAGCTGATAATTAACATGAAGAAACCACTGTCCAGAAGAAAACTTTCAATATTTGTAATAATAACAAATCACTTGAATATCTTTTTACTTTCATTTTTCAGTTTTATTAGGTAGAATTGTTAAAATGTGACTGCACATATAATAATATACTGCATGTAAATACATATATTCAATATACTGCACATTTTAAAAAATTTACATATATATACTGTTCATTGTTTCTAAGAAAGTTTAGAACTTTAGCTTTTTTTAATAAACATTTTTTTTATTGAGTTATAGTCATTCCACAATGCTGTGTCAGAACTTCAGCTTTTTAAACTTACATAGTTATGAAAGGAATAAAGCCAACTACAAAAAAAGAGTTATTTCAAAAAGATACATATACCCTACTATTAACAGCAACATTATTTATAATTGCCAAAATATGGAAGCATCCTAAGTGCACATCAATAGATGAATAAATAAAGAAGATGCAACATTTATATGTAATGGAATACAACTCACCCATAAGATAGAAGGGTATTTGCCATTTGCAGCCCTTCATTCACTTTTTTTTCCTTTTCACTTCAAAAGCCAGAATTTTATAACTGGCATAAACATTTCCATTGCATCAAAAAGAACAACATGCCTAGAAAAGCTTAACCAAGGAAGTTACCTATACTCTGAAAACTGTAAAACATTGATGAAGGAAATCGAAGACAATACAAAGAAATGGAAAGATGTCTTGTGCTCTTGGATTGAAAGCATCATTATCAAAATGGCTGTGCTACCCAAAGCAAAACTACTCAATGACATTCTTCACAGAACTAGAACAAATAATTCCAAAATTTATATGGAACCATAAAAGACCTCAAACTGCCAAAGCAGTCTTTTGGAGATTCTTTTTTTTTCTTCTCTTTCATCTTTTTTTTCTCTTTTCTTATAGTTTGATGATTAGAAAAGGTCCTTTAACATTTGTTGTAAAGCTGGTTTAGTGGTGCTGAATTCTTTTAGCTTTTGTTTATCTGTGAAGCTTTTGATTTCTCCATGAAATCTGAACGAGAGCCTTGCTGGATAGAGTGTTCTGGTTGTAGGTTTTTCCCTTTCGTCACTTTAAATATATCTTGCTACTGTCTTCTGGCCTGTGAAGTTTCTGTTGAAAAATCAGCTGATAACCTTATGAGAGTTCCCTTGTGTGTTATTTGTTGCTTTTCTCTTGTTAATTGTAATATTTTCTCCTTATCCTTAATTATTGTCAATTTGATGACTGTGTGCCTTGGTGTGTTCCTCTGGGTTAATCCTGTGTGGAGCTCTATGTGCTTCCTGGACTTGGG